CTGCCGGGGAGGAAAAAGGGCATTGTAATCCTCCCACTTCTCCCTTGGGGTTGGCAGCTGGAATGGATCCCCGTTAAGCTAACATTCCAAGAGACCCCTCCGGATCCTGGAAGGTGACCTTTCCCTTTAATGCAATGCGCTCAATGGGGGGGGGGGACATTTCTGCAAGCAGACCCCGAAGGGAAGAGGCAAACCAGGACCAAAATCTGGTGGGAAGTTCAGCCACCCGCCCTCAACGGCCTCTTGATTTCCGATGCTGATCCTTCCTTCCGGAGCCTCAGCCAAACAGCTTACTGACCACACTTAAACCTGAAGAGAACCCTGATTGGGGGCGGTGGGGGGGGGAACAGCATCCCGGTTTGCCCTTCTTATGGGTTAGAGGAGTATTTGTTCCAGCCGGGCCCCAACGTGTGATGTGGAGCAAAGTGTGTGGCGTGCAGCCAGAGTAGTGTTTTACAAAACGCTTAAAGTTGAACGTGATTGCTTTGCTCCAAGCTGAACGTGGAGAATACAATCTGAAGACCCAGGACGCTTCTTAATCCAGCTGCCTGCCAAAAAAGCTTTGGCTGCTGCTCCCAAAGTCCACCCCCAAACTGCAGAGACCCGTAATCCTATTTGCCCCATTTCACTCGCTTCCTCTGAATTCCCTTTCAAGGGGTCAGGTTGGGGAGCGGAAAATGGGAATCTCTGGGTTCAAGGCGCCCTTCCCTGGACTACCTCGCAGGGTTGTGGGGGCCAAAAAGAGGCCTTGTACTGTCCTTAGACATCAGTACATAGCAAACCATCCTCAGCACGCTGATCTCGATCCAACCTGGCTCCGTCAGGGAGGTCAGCCCAAAGGAAGCAGCGTTCCCAGCCCTCCGTCGCCACGGCTGAGGTCTCCTGGTCCTCCCCGGGGGCTCACCTCGGTGTAGATAGAAGGCGTGAGGTAGCAAAGGAGGCGGATGTCATCTTCCTGACAGGCCTTCATGTCCATCATCAAGCAAGTGTGCAGGTCCCCCAGCTGCGTTGCCTGGGCAAAGGACTCGTACAGGTTCATCTTGCCAGCTGCTGCTTTGCTAAAAAGGTGAAGTGGGAGGGGAGATCATCAGCTCTCTTTCATAAGTGGGGGGGAGTTTGACCCAGGGCCAAACACCCTTCACGGGACTCTCGCTCAGCTAAGGGCCGTGAGACCCGCGCTCTCCCTGTCCTGAACTGCAAGTCCTTCACTGCCAAACAACACACAGTCCGGGGAAGACTGACCTCCCTCCTTCCACGGCTCCCTCACCTGGCCTTCAGGTAGTAGAGAAGGTGGTATCCGATCTTGGGCTGCTTCTGATAGAGCTCCGAGAGAAGATCCAGCAGGACCGAGAAGCTGCTGTTATCTTCCTGCATCTGGCAGAGGTTCCTGGAACCGGATGGGGAAAGAGTAAAGTGCGCGCGGGTTCCCACGTGCGCCAAAGCCCGTACACACCACGCCCCAGCAATTTTATCCCACAAGCTTCAGACCAAGGAAGACGACAGAAGCAGGGGGCGAGGCGGCGGCCGAGACATACCTAAATATTAAGTAAAGAGGTTTTCCCACCGATTCTTCTAGAGATCTGTACGGAAATAGGAGAGAGAGAAAGGACGTTAAGTTCACCCACGCCACAGAACCGTCCTCCCATCTTTGCAGTTCTTCACGAGACGAGCCAGGTTTTCCCCAGCTTCTTTTCAGCAATAGAAAGAGGACAATTTGGGGAAGCAAGAGAGGTGGGGGGGCTATTTTGGGGCCATCTTAGGGACACCCAGCCTTCGTTCAGTCCTCGGGTAGCTGGACCTGGGAGGGATTTGTGCTGTCATACAAATCGGTTCTGCGACTGACGCGCACAGCCCGAGCGGCAGGACGGAGGACCGACTCTTCCGCTCTGTCCGCGTGCTTACTCTTCCGTAATTTCTTCCGGCAGCACCTCCCCACGGAAATGAGCTCGGAAGAGCTCCTGTAAGCAGGAGGCGAGGACCGACAGCTGCTCCTGGTCAAAATCCTCCTGGGGGAGAGGGGAACGCAAGCGGTGAGCCCACCGAGAGAGTCAACAGTCCACGCGGAGGGAATAACATAGCAGGATTGAGGAATGTACCCCCCCGAAAACTAAAAAATCCTGGGCAACCATGCAGGGATTTACTTTGAGGTAAGCAGGCCCGGGCAGGCTTGCACTGCGATTCTCCTAGGGCGCTGCTCCTCTCCGCAGCCTCAAATTCATCCCCCTGCAACCACGCCATTGCAAATCCAAAAAACGGCTGTTTACCTCCAAGACTTGATCCACGATTTCCTGCATGACCTCACACTGAGCTTCTGTATCGCTGCAGCGGCAGCAGGGGGGGGAAAAAAAAAAGGAAATCCAAGTTAACAAGAGGAAAAGACGCATGGAGGGGGTGGGGGCGGCCCTGGGGCTTTAAAAGGAGCAAGATGGGAGAAAAGCGGTTATCGGCTAAAGAGGGGCTCCTCCCACCGACTCCAAACAGCCCTGGTGCACGAACGCTGTCCGAAAACTGCGGGAAGCCTTCCCTTCGGGGGGATTCAAACACAGGCCCGCCTTACCTATTGGATCAGAATGACAGAGGGGTTTTTGCTAGGAACAGAAGGCCTGCAGTCAAACCTTTACGAGCGGAGGCCTCAGCCTCTAAGAATACCCCAAACTGTCAACATCCCTATTATGGTTAGATAAATGCAGAAATCATAAAACACCCTGCAAGCTTTTTGAGGTCCAGAGAAAGCCAAAAAGCTTGCTTTTCTTTCGTCCACGCGGAGCATCGGTCTAATAAAGACACCGTCCTCACACAGATTTTGGATTTCTTTTTTCCTGTCCAACACGGCTGCTCGGGCTCTACTCGAAATGAAACTCCTTCGTTTTCCAGGCCTTGTGTCCACGAAGGGAGGCCCAGCAAGGTGGGGAAAACTCCAGCTTTTTATTCCAGTGTGAGGAACGTGAAGTCTATTTTTGAATCCAAATGCTGAGTCGATCTGAATAATTGCACTCCCGCAAAAAAATTGCTTTGGGAAATCTGGAGGGCGCGCATATAAAGATATGTGCATAAACACTCACATAAAATACATTTTTTCTCATTATGGCGGGAAATACATGTCTAGGTCATAGCTGGGGAGCTTGTCATATGTCTGGATCCTGCTTACAAAAATGCTCTACCCAGAAAGTGAGCATGTTGGGAAGATCTCCCTGAAATGCTTGTTTTCTGTGTGTGGGGAACTCTTCATCTAGGCAGGGGATTTATTCCTGTGAGGTCTTACGTGTAGCCAAATCTGTTTTACTCACGAGGTGACCTTCAACACTGTGCAAAGTTCCTCTTCCCCCTCAGCCCCGAAGCCAGAAAACTCTAACACGCCCACACCAATTTTTGCCTCATTGGTGCCGATTTTTTTTTTTTTTAAAGTCTCCGGCCCTGGGATGATTATTTATTTGGGCCCCCTCAGCAGCTCGCCAACCCAGTCAGCTCGGAGAGCCGACAAAAGCAGGAATCTTGGTTTAATCAAGGCAATTCACAAGCTTTCCCCTTCCCTGCCCGCCCCCCCCAAACTCTGGTCTGCAGAACTTTTGGAAAAACAAACCTATAAAATACTCTTAGTCATGACAGGCTAAATTAATGGAAGGCGTTGGGTCTAAAGGCCTCCCCCAAACACAGAGTGTTGCAAAACTCCAGTTGTGCCCGGCTCGGTTCCAGGGAGAGAGAGCTGAGGTCTGCAAGGAATCGTGCGCACGGTGAGAGCAAAGGCCAACTTCTGGGGGAACAGACCCCTTGCAACGCTGGTCACATTGTTTTAGCCCTTCCTGCACCACCATGGTGGCTCTGGACAAGTCCCTCGGGGTGGTGGCCAAATCGAGAGTTCAGGGGCTCAGGGTTGTCGCAAGATGGTGGGAGGAGAGGGCTCTGCAAAAGGAATCCGGGCCTCGGCACATCGCTTGGGGAGGTTGTAAAGTCAGTTGTTAAAAGCACACAGCTTGGAACGCGCAAGTTATCACCAACGCCGTGGACGTCCCAAGGGGAGGGCTAGAGGAAGGCCCTTGCCTCGTGCCGGGGGAGGCGAGAAGTCAGACCTCAGCTCAGCCCTGCTGCTGAGTGGCATCCGCCCCCTCGTTCCAAAATTTTTGGCTCAGCCACACACAGAGACCACAGAGTACCACCCGGGAGTTCTCTACCCTCCGCTGCGATTACTAACCTCTGACCACGCGAGGCTGGTAATGCAAAGCGTCGGGAGCAGAACGCAACCCAGACTGCGGGATCCTTAAGCAACGGGGGTCAAGGAGCAGGAGGAAAGAGAACGTCCCTGGGGGAGAGTAAACCAACCCCTCCTGGCCGGGAACCGAAAAAGAAGGGCGGCCTTGCCACAGCCGTACTCACCTCCCCTTCTGTAGCAGCAGGATTTTGTCTTTCAGAGACTCGTCCAGCTGGTCCAGGAATGGGGTGATGTCTATGACGGCTTCTTTGATGGGGTGGAAACGGAATTCTCTCTTCTTCCCTGCAAGGAAGGAGGAAGAGCAGTCAGGCTCCCAGGTAGAGCCCCCCCACACACACACACACTTGCTTTTGCTGATAAACCTTGACCTGCAAGGTGACACCTTGGCTGTCTGGATGGCACCTTCTGAGTGATTCCATCCCTTTCTAGTGGAATCAGGCAGGTTTTCAGGAAGAGGCATATCTATGCCTTCCTCCAAGCACCAGACCCCTTAAATCAGCAAGGGCAGGAAGTTTCGGCAGGCTGAATCCGAAGACGCCGCTACGGCAAAGTGTGCCCCGCTGGTTACCCCAGACCGCAACCTGAAGATTTAGCTCAGCCCTTGAACGCCATAAAGTTTCGCTTTTACACCAGGGCTAAGGCCCAAAATCATTGCTAGCACTACACAGGGTGACCGCTACACACGTTGACCCATTCAGGCAGAGTGAAACCTGTTTAGCGACCAGCAGTGCTGCAGTGCCCCCCCCAAACGGCTTGCACAGGATCTGTTTTTCCCAGACTTTGCATGCCATGACGTGTCGGGAAGCTGCGGACAAGCCACGCTGCCAGGCCGCCCGCATCTCCCTCACCTTTGCTGTTCAGGTCCTCTTCATCATCGCTGAAGGCGGCTTCCGCGTGGTCGTAACAGCCATCGTCTCTGTCGGACATGTGGTTGTCCATCTCTGTGGCCGCAGGCTCCTCGACTTTGACTGTGGGGCGCAAGGGAATGGCACATAGACCAAGGGAACGTCAGCTCCACCAGGAACATTTTTTCCCCATGACCCGCAAGCGCCTGCTGACGGTGACGCGTGACACTGATGGTCTCAGAGAAGGGAGGCTGGAAGGGAGCAAACGCCAGCCAGGCTTCTCCGGGGGGACTCCTCTTGCCCGGAGAAGCTACGTGGGCACCCCTTGATGCCTCCTTTCGAATAGGAAGGATGAATGTCAGCGGCCCCCTGGCGAGGCTGGCTCCCAGCAAGATCTCCCACAGGAATTGTCTGGACCCTGGTCCACCAGTGGGCTCTGCCCCATCGTACCTTCGACCGGAGGTGAGGGAGAAGTGCAGAACTCTGGGAACTTCTCTCTTAGCATGGCCCGGAGTTCCCTGTCGAGCTTCGGATTATCGAAAAGAGGAGCGAGGTGCCTGCAAGGGACGAAGGAGACCGGGCTGGGGGGGGAGACGTTGACAAATGCGCCTCGTAGATCTGCTTTCAAAAAGGCTTTCAGAGGGGCCCCAAACGCCTGAGTCTCAACAGACTAACATGCCTGTTGGCAGGGTTAGGGCAGGGAGGCCTCAAGGGTCCCCAACCTGGTGCCCCATGTTGGACTCCAGTTCCCATCCTCCCCAGCCAGGATGTGCTGCTTGAGAAGGATGGAGTTTACGGTATCTTTAGAAGGCACCGGCTGGTGGAACCACCCTCTACTTGCAAAAGAGAAGCAGACGCTGCATTGGATCGGGTTTTCAGCAAGCGCCGCAATTCTCTTTTTAGGAAAGAGAGGTGTTATCTGGGCGGGCCGGAAAGAGTCTCCCGCCGCAAGCCGCGATGAGCAAAGGAGCATTCCTTTGCCAGGCCTGGGGGGGGGAATCCACAGCCTCCATGCCAAACGCCTTACGCCAAGACTCGCTTCTCCACGATGTGGGTGAGGGAGTTGAACACGCCTTGCCGGACGTGGGCCTCCAGAGCGGGATAAAAATTCGGGATGATCTGGAAGAGCAAAAGGGGAGGGGGAAGAGGAGAGGGGGCCAGGTTGGGTTGCCAAGCACAGAGAGCCATCCCGGTGGTCTTGGAAATGGAGGGTTGGGGGAGAGCTCTTACCCGACACATGAAGTCCAGCAGGGTAGCCGTGATAGCCGGGTGGGGTTTCATGGAATGATACATGACGAAGATGGCGGGTTCTGCAAAATCCAAGTGTTGGAGTTATAAAGCTAAGAGCAGAAGAACTAAGCAGACTGGCCCGCAGAGGGGACGGTAGAAGCCGCTGGGAAGGGACCCCAAACCAGGCACGTGGTCTGTTAAACCCCAGCTAGGCCCTCACGGCTAAAGCATGCTGGGAAAGGCAGGGTCCTAAATAAGAACATCAGGCTGACATTCCGGGGGTCTCTTTGCTTTCTGGTGGGGACAAATCCAGGGCACCTGGTCAGGGAGGTAGGATAGGAGAAGCCCCCCCCCCCCAAGCACCAGGGGGAGAAAAGACTGCACCATAAAATAAGAACATCAGGCTGACATTCCGGGGGTCTCTTTGCTTGCTGGTGGGGACAAATCCAGGGCACCCGGTCAGGGAGGTAGGTTAGGAGAAGCCCCCCCCCCCCAAGCACCAGGGGGAGAAAAGGCTGCACCATACCGATATTCATGATGCTGTCCTTGTCGGGGTTGAAGAAAAGCCAATCATAAAACAGGGCGAGTTTGGCATTGGAAGCGGCTACGTTGGACTGGAAGGGAAGAAGAGGGGGAAGAATCTGACGACCCTCCAAATGCACAGGAGGTTCCCTGCTGTGTCTCTGTGTGAGTCACAGTTCTGGCTTCCTTCCAATCCGTTTCTGACATGGGCCAGCCACTCCCTTCCTTCCCCCTTTGGGTTGGGCCTGACCGCACCCCTAGTTGCTAGCAGCCCCCCCAGAACACAGACTCATACAGAACCCCGCGGAATCATTTCCTTTGGAAAGAGCCCAAGAATCTCAGAAGGAGTTCGCTCTTGCTAAGAACCCCTGGCTTGCCTTGCTGGCAACATTATACCAACACAGACTAGAGGAAGACCCAGAAGGACCAGCTATTGATGCTCACCAAGGCCAGGCACTCAAGCAAGCTGCCGAGGGAGGCAAACTCTGACCACCCTGCTACCAGTGGCTGCTCCTTGCTGACCCCCAGCCCTTAATTGCCACAACGGGAGCTGGGGAAGAGGAGTCACCTAGTATTTTCAGGAGCCTCCTTCTTCCGCTGCTGCAGCGGGACCCCGGCGGCTCTCTGAAAATCTCCGAGGCTGGAGGCCCTGAGTCCCCGGCCACCCAAGCCCCTTTTGAGCTGGTAAGTTCTCCCACCCCCAGCCGGCTCTGCAATGGCAGGGCTTTTGACTAGCTGAAGCCAGGCTGCCTCACCCTTCCGTTTATCCCCACTGGATGAATCTCGCTGCTCTGGCCAGGTTAATTAAAAATTAACTTGGCGCCCTTTCTAAAAGTAGCTTTCTTGCCAATTAAACCTCCAACGGGCAGGCTTGGGTGAGAGATGGAGAGGAACGGAAAGGCAGGCGGGGCGGGAGAGCGAGGGATTAGCGACGGAGAACGGCTCGTTCTGGACAGAGCAAATCCTCTTTTCTATCTTCTAGCGATTCGTAATTTTTTCTATTTTTACCCTGACGTTTCCTCTGTGCTTTTAATGACCATACCCCACCCTCCTTAGGCTGCTCGATGACCATAATAAATGTTTGATTTGATACCAGACCAAGTGAAGATGGAAACGGCTGGCATCGGCCAGAAGAATGGGAATAAGAACCCTGAATGTTGAATGGTTCGTTGGGGAGGTTGGAGGAGAGAAAGGAGGGCGTGTAAAGAACCGGGAAAAAAGCCTTACAAAGGGGTTTTCCAAAGGCACAGGAGCTACACGGCATTTCGCAGCAGAAACAAGGCAGCCCTTAGAAAGAAAGCTTTTCAAAAAACCCGAAGCGGGCCGGGCTTACCGTGCAGGTGGTGAGTAGCCAGCCGATGATGGCCCAGCGCGGGAGGATATCCGAGCTCAGCACCTCGTTGGACGGGTGGACCACCCCACAGATGTAGCGGATGAGGTCGCAACGCAGGGACTGGCTGTCCGGGGTGGAGAGGTACTGCCGCTGGAACCAGTCTTGGTACCGCTTCTGCTGGCCCAAACGTACCTGGAAAAGGCAAGGGGGGCGCTGCCTCAGATTGGGTCCGGCCACTGGGCCCGCCTTGCTGTAACGCCCGGGTCTTCCCCTTCCCCAAGCTTGGTTATTTTGGTTATTTGGTCTTCCCCTTCCCCAAGTTTGGTTACAAAAGGTATTTCCTAAGCAAAAAGTCACCCCTGAGGTGGCACGAAGCAACACGCTCAATTTTTGCCCCAAAGCAAGCACGTAGATTTATAACGGGCTTTTAACGCTTCTTGATCGACGCCTTTTATTTTTTGCAATCTATGAACCTGCCCAACGTCGAAGGTTTGAATTTCCTTCCAAAAATAAAAAGGCCGTAGGGTTTGCCCCATTGCTAATACAGTCGCGGGCACCTCTACATCTCCGGAAACTTTCACGCCACCCCTTTGGTTAAGCGGCAGGACGGTTTACGGGTGCTTTTTAAACTTTTGAAACGCTTTGGGAAAGGGTCTGCGGGAAGGTGCTTCGAAACAAGCCAGCAAAACAAAAAGAAGAAGAAGAAAACACAGGTTACCCGAGACGTCATGAAAAGCAGCTTGGTCTCCATATCCGGGGTGAGGCGACAGGCCAGAAATTTGCGGGACGTCCTAGACTGCAGAAGCTGGAGCATCCCTGGGACGGGGGACGGAAGTGGGAAATCAAGACCAACGAACGGCAAAGAATACAAAGTGGATCTTTCACCCACTTTGATCAGCTGGAGATCTCGGGGGTCCATTGGATGGTCCACCTACCTGTGAACTGGGGGCTCAGGACCTGTGGGTTATGGATGATATCCTTCCACAGCTGCTCAAACTCGGGAATCCTCGCAACGTTCTGCAGAAGCCGCACCAGATCTCGGCCGACCATGAAGCAATCCATGAACTTGGCAGGGGGAAGAGGGAGAGAAGGGAAGCTCGCCAGCGGTCAAGGACCAGGGGAGAAGCCTTGCAAAGGGTCATTTGGCGCCCCCCCCCCGCCCCCGCCCGATGCCAAGCGTGCCTTTGAAGATCTAAGGAAGCGGCGCGACCGTCAAGAAGGCCACGGGGTTTTTTATGATGCCGGATGGCTGCCGCTGGGTAAATAAATAAGCCATCAATTCTGAGGTCTCCCTTTCCTCCTGAGCAGGGGGATCCTGGAATGCAGTGGTCAAGGCCCTGACCTTGCTCTTCGGCACACCCACCGCCTCCCGCCAAAACGGCGACCCTGATGGGGGTTTCCATGGCAAGGCTCTGATCCGGCCCCCGGGGATGGCATGAGCAGTCAGGGCCGGCTGCCCCCCCCCGAGACACGTTCAAGCCATTTCTGAGCCCAGTTTGCACCCTGGGTCTTTCAACCCAATTTCTGGAGCAGAGGCACAGACGTAAGAGATGGGGAAAGCCGCCAGGCTGGGACAGGTCCCTTGTACAAGGGAAGTGTAATTTAGGCAGCGGGCGCCACAGGCTTGGCCATCTCAAACAGCCAGCCAGAGAAGAAAGCAGAAATTAAGAGCCTGCTCCCTTTGGTCTTCTCAGGTGCCTGCAAGGAGAATGGCGGAGCAGGAAGCAACATTTAAGGCAAACGTTCTGGGTCTCCCTACCCGGTCCCGGAGCAAAGCGATGCAGAAATCTACTTCTTTTTGACGCAGGGCCTGCAGGGACGGTGAGCCGTGGTGGTCGACAATGAGGCGCAGGTACGTGTACACCGACATGGCAATCAGCAACGCGCTCTTGAGCACCCATTCCCTAGGCAGAAGGACCAACACCGCATTGCCCACCGCTCTGATGTCTGCGCAGACCCCAAACGTCCTCACTGGGCAATGGCGGGGCCTCCTACTGAACAATATCTAACAGCCCTTGGGAAGCACCTCTTGCATTTGGGAACAGCCCAATTCCACCTTTCAAGCTGCCCCTGAAAAGTTTAGGTCTGGGAAAGGATGAACGCAAACCCTTTGAAAGTTGATAATGTGATGTGGCATTAAGTCTGGTGTGTCTGTGTGTGTTTTTAACAGTCGCAGCCCAGGATGGGTCCTCGCGGAGCAACACTTCCTTCATCAAGAGGAAGATGCTGAAAGGGGCGAAGGACAGGAGTTTGATGTTCCTGGTGCGAGGAAGGGTCGGTCACCGAGTGAAACGTCTTGGGAAATGGCAGCGGATGAAGATCCAACCTCTTCCCCTTCCTCTTCACGTTCCCAGGACAGCAATAGAAAGACAGAGAACAGGAGGGAGGACCACGTTTTCCAGCCCATAGGCAGGGCAATGACTTATCTCGCACAGGGTGGAGTGAGAGTGCCCACCCTGGCTGTGAGCAGGAAACGTGGGGAGGGAGGGTCAGGGGTCCAGCAGAAGAGCAGCAGGATCACCACCAGCAGGAGGGCCGAGGCGGCAGACGTTTGGACTTCAGCACTGGAGGCAAAGGCTGGGGGAGCGGATGACGCAGAGAGCAGCCTTCAGGGCACTGAGGAGGAGGTGGGTGGGGACGTGCCAGGCCACCAAGGGTGACAGAAAATGGCCCGCGACAGGATGGGTTCCTCCCCAGCCCCTTGAGGACAGCCCTTCGGCTCTCAATCAACAGCCGACTCCAGCAAAGAGCAGGGAAGCTGCTGAGTAATGAAAATCTTTGTCTTCCGTCTTATCCGCTCTAGTAAAACTGTCTTGATCCCCAGCTTCTCTGGCTGATGCCACGTCCTTCTATGAGAACTCTTCCTACATGGCAGTTTGTGAAGGAGCAAAAACCCTCCCACTGGAGGCACTGAGACCTTCCTTCCTTCCTTCCTTCCTTCCTTCCTTCCTTCCTTCCTTCCTTCCTTCCTTCCTTCCTTCCTTCTGTTTTCTGACACCCCTCTCCACGCACCAGGCATGTCCAAAGCATGTGAGGGGACCAGAGGCAGACCCCCCCACCTTGCATTAGGGAACAGCCCAGGTGAAGCCTAAAGATTCAGAGAGATCTAAGATCTCTCTCTGCCTGGATGTTGGAAACAGCCAGTGAAGCAAACCATGTTGGGGAAAAACACACCATTGTTGTAGAAAGCAGCAACCCAAATTTCAAAAAAGGGACGGCTCATTCCTCTTATCCTCTCCCCATCTGTGAAACCTTCTCAGCTTCCTGCTCAACTGAAGTTCAACTTGTGGTTCGTGTCCTTTCCAAACAAACCATCTTACGGCTTTCTGCAACAGCCTTCTTTGCCCGCCACGGGCAGACAAGGATGCGAGCTGCTTATAACCCAGCCTAGCAGCCAGCCCACCTCATCATCTCAGCTCCGTCTAGCGCCTTTTGCGAGCCCAGCCGAAGAAATGTTACTTTCGTTTGACTAAGAGGGAATTTTCTGGTGGGTATTTGACAGACCGCGTTGAACGTAGCAACTGGGAACGGCCGACACCTTGATAAAAAATTTTGCCAGCATCAAACCGCTTCCTCAGTGCTTGAAATGCCCTTAATCTCCCAGCAAGCACTAGATGGCATTGTGGGGCTAGCTGGGGGAGCTGAATTGTCCTTTGCAAGGAAAGTAAACAGTGGAGGGCTCTTAATAGCACCCCCCTCGCTGATTGAACAGCTTGACTGCATTGCCCATAAGCCATTCAAAGGGAAATTGCTCCTGCTAAGAAACGCAGCCCTGCAAGAACGTTAGATTAGAAACGGTAGCGCCTTACGTTAGCCCCCAGGAAAAGGGGATCAAGACAGACTATAGCTTCCAATGCCCCAAAACAGAGTGGTTCGGGGGAATCCATTCAGTCTTGGAGGTCTGGAGAAGATGACCTGACCTGCAGACACATACCCGCCCCAAATTTAACCACCTTTCAGCCAGCACTGTCCTCCCACTTGTAAAACAAGCAAGGTGAGTGCCCCAAAGTTAGTCAAATTGGGCTGGATTTTCAAACCAGATTATCTAAGGAATCTCTGGAGCGTGAATGCCGGGGGAGGCTACTTCCAATCTTTCCATGCTCATAGTTTAGCCGCCCTGCAGCTTCGCATGGAGAAACCAGCCCACCAAGATGGAGGGTAAACCAGACTTCTTCGCTCTGCCTTGAGCAGAGAATTAAAACACACATACGCACGTTTCCAACCTGCCACCCCCAACCCCAGCTGGGCAGAAGCGGTAGAAACGGGCAAAAAGTGTGCTCTGTGGTTAGCTGGATGGGGCCGCATGGAAGAGCAGGCTGCAAGATGATGTCTACTAATGAGGAAGTCCAGGAAGGATAAAAGCCGGTGAAGAACGTGAAAAGCATGTTCTTGGGGGTTTAGACTGGATAAGACCGGGCAGAGGGAAAGGAAGGAAGGAAAGAGGAAGGAAGGAGGGAGGGAGGGAGAGGAAGGGAGGAGAGAGAGAAGGAAGGAAGGAAGGAAGGAAGGAAGGAAGGAAGGAAGGAAGGAAGGAA